TGGAAGGATAAGACACAGGGAGTTACGCTTTTGTTTCTCAGACATAATTTTGCCTGCACGGAGAGAAGCGGAGATTTGGCCAGGTAAGAAAGGAGGCGGAGGGCGTGTGGAGGGTGTTTGCCTCAATCTAGCCCATCCCCCCCCAAGGAGCAGGATTGTCTCCCCCACTCTATCCCCCCCCCCCCGCCAAGGGGCAGGATCGTCCCCTCTGCTCTATTCCCCCAGGTTGCAGGATTGTCCCCCGCAGTCTATTCCCCACCCATGGGGCAGGATCGTCCCTGCTTGTTCCCCATGTTTCACCCTCCCTAACTGTGCTAGGGCATTGCCAAGTCACATGATAAGTCCTGTCTCTCTGTGGGGCAGAAATTCCCAGCAGCTGGGGGTGGGGGTGTGGGACAGGGGCAGTTCGGCCCTTGCCCTCTGTCCAGCAGAAAGATAGGTACAGACAGTGGCTAATCTACCCCCAACGCTGGGTCTGGCTCATGGCGTGATTTGAAACACTGTCAAACTCTGACCAGTTCAACCAGCTAAAACCAGGGCAAACCCTTGGGCCTGTGGAATGCCCCAGAACAGTGGCTTGTCTTGCGTTAGCCACGATCGGGACATTTACAGGCACAAGCTAATCTATGGAAGGAGAGCCGGCCCCTCAGATGTTCAGCCCCCCCCCCCACACACACACACAAAAACGAGGGGTTCTATATATTTGCTTGCTGGTCTTTGGAGCCGCTTTTCCAGCCCTTGCCACTGGAGAGAGAAGCTGGAAAAGGGGTTCCAAAGACCAGCAAGCAAATATATAGGACCCCTCTTTTTTAGGGGGCTGGCTCTTTCCGTAGGTTAGTTTGTGCCTGTGATGCGCACTGCTTTGCCTTATCACAGCGCAGCAATCCCATGCCTCCAGCAGCTGGGGATTACAGGAAAACCCCGACTGCCCTGTGAATCTGGCAACTTTTCGGTGGATGAAATCCTGATAGATTTCGTTCAAAGAGGGAGGGAAACAAAATTCCCATCTTCTATCTTGATGCGGGGGGGCGGGGAGGGGGTGTCCTCTTAGGATGAAAAAACGAATTGGGCGGGCCCTGGTGCTTGCTCAGGAGATATCACTGATGGTAGGACAGATAGAGCAGGTCCCCTTTGGGGCACATCGGTGGCTGGGAGGGATCCCAGGGTGGGAAACTAGGGAGTCTCCAGCAGAAAAAGAGGAGACTTTGGTGCTCCAGGACCAGAGCCCAGCGTTAGGGGAGTGGGTTTGGGCCAGGGCATGTTCTACCCCTTTCTTTGCTTCAGTTTCCCCCACCCAATGCCCAGGGCTCTGTGGGGGTGAGAGGGTGAATTTGCTCTCACGCCAGCTGGAGGAAAGCTCGGCCAGTCAGCACCCAGCTCACTGCATGATGGGAAGGAAGCAATTGCCTTGTTAGGCCCTGAGGGTGGCTTTTCCTAAGGCCGAGCTCGGTGCCTCCCGGACTCGGGCTCTAGGAGCCCCTGTGTCTCCCCAGCTGCCCTCGGCAGCGAGTCGGACTGAGATCAAACTCCTCTCAGAGGCTTGTGCCCCTGCCAGGCGTGGCACTGGCAGTGATTAGCCCCTGGCACATGGCGTCAGCCAGGCCGTAGGCAGCAGAGAAAAGTCCAGTGTCACCAACAGCCCCAGCGCTAGGGTAGGCTGGGCACAAGCCAACAACACGCGCTGTGATACAGCCAAAGAGCGTTGGCCATGCTCCCAGCCCAGTGGGGGGTGAGTGGGTGGGTGTCTCTCCAGGGACGCAGAGACGCTGACAGAGTGTAGGGGGCCATGGGGGATAATCAGCTGGACGTGAGCCCCCGTGCGACAGTGTGGCCAAAGGCGCTAAGGATGCCCAAACAGGGGAATCGCGCGTAGGAGCAGAGAGGTCAGTTTACCTCTGGATTTGGTGCTGGTGCGACCGCTGCTGGGGTCCTGTGTCCAGTTCCGGAGCAGTCCAAGAAGGATGTGAATATATTGGAGAGGGCAGAGGGGGGCCAAGCGAATGGTTAAAGGATTACAAAACGTGGCCTGGAGTGATAGACCCCAGGAGCTCAAGCTATTTAGCTTTGCAAAGAGAAGCTCCCACCTCCCGGGCTGACTTGCTTCAGTCTAGAAGCACCTACACAGGGATCAAATATTTAATAATGGGCTCTTCAGGCTAGCAGAGAAAGCTCTAACGTGACCACATGGCTGGAAGTTGAAGCTGGACACATTCAGCCTGGAAAGAAGATATCCATGTTTACCAGGGAGGGGAATTAACCATGGGAACAATGTACCAAGGAGTGCGGTGGATTCTCCCTCGAGGTGGGATGTGTTTCTAGGAGATCTGCTCTCGTTCAAACAGGAATTAACTGGGGGCAGTTCTCTGGCCTGTTATCCAGGAGCTCAGCCTTGGTCCCTCCTGGCCTGGGAATCTACCAATCTCCGCCATGACTTCTTGGAATCCGTCTTCTCGCTCTGGTGCTGCCCATTGGACAGGGACACAAAGTGGGCAGGTAAACTGAGTCACACAGCTTGTTCACAGAAATATTCCCATGTTCTCTCGCTCCTCCCCAGACTCCTGCTGCAAGGAGGGGGCACACCGGGTCTAGAGATCAGCCGTCCTCCAGCATAGCCCTATTGCTCAGGGTGCCAGGTCCTGCCACTCAGCGGGTCTAGAGAGATGGATCAACTCCAGGAGGACGTCACCTGCTCCATCTGCCTGGATGTCTTGGACGCCCCCGTCTCCATTGAGTGCAGCCACAACTTCTGCCTGGGCTGCCTCGTGGCTCACTGGCGCGGGGTCTCGGCCCAGGGCTACCAGTGCCCCGAGTGCCGGACTCCCTGCTCCAGGGACAGGATGACCCAAGACACGCGGCTGAGAGCCCTGGTGAAGAAAATCACAGAGCCCCTGCGAGAAGAGATGGAGCTGGTGAGACCAGACTGGCTGAATCAGGGGAAAGAGGCGCAGGCTCTCACAGGCCCCAGGGCGGGGACTGGCTGGATCAGGGGGTGGGGAATGGGACACGGGGCCTTTCCTCTCTAGGGGGCGCAACCTCTGATTTGGAGGGCAGGGGACCGGATGGCTCATGGGGGAGTGGAAATGGCTCAAGAGGATCTGATCTGAGGGGCAGGGACTAGTTGGTTCAGGGGATGGGAATGGGGCACGGGGCTCTCATCCAGAAGCAGGGACTGGCTGGCTCTGGGATGGGGTCCGAGCTCTGACCCTCTCTGTCCCTGCAGCGGGGCCGGGGGCTCAGCCAGAGCCGGGGCGCCCGGTGCAGCTGGTTCGTCTGGATGACAAAGGCAGCCTGATCCTGTACGAGGAGGCCCTGAGCCTCTGCCTAGAGCAGGGTGGGGTGGGGGATGCCCCCGTCTGCCTGGTGTCCATCATTGGGGAGCAACGCCGGGGAAAATCCTTCCTAATGAACTGCCTGCTGCGCCGGCTCCACAGCCCGGAGAGTGGGGACAGGAGCCCCAGCTATGGCCCCATCGCCTGAACCAGAGACCCCACCCACCCCAGCCAGGACCCTGCCCCTTGCAACACAAACCCCACCCACCTTAGCAAGGGCCCCCTCCCCCTCCACGACTGGCCATGCCCCCTACAGCAAAGGTCCCCTCTCCCCAGGCAGGGCCCTCCCGCTGTACCAGGCCCAGGGCAGAGCAACTGAGTCCCCACCCTGCAGCCATGGCCCCTCCCTGTGCACCAAAGGCCCCACCCTCTGGTCGTGGCCCCTCCCCCTACACCACAGGCCCCATCCTCCAGCCATGGCCCCTCCCCATGTACCACTGGTCCCATCCTCCAGCTGTAACCCCTCCCCCAGACCCTTAGAATTCCACCTCCTCCCCCAGTGTCCCACCACCCTGCCCCCTGAGAATGCCAGACCCAATCCCCGTTCCCTTCTGACCTTGCCCTGGTCACCCCCTACAGGAGGCTGTGGATGCGTCATGGATGGGCCGAGAGGACGAGGCCCTGGGGGGGTTTGAGTGTCGCAATGGGACAGCGACCGTGACGAGGGGCGTGTGGATGTGGGACCAGCCCCTCTGGGTCCAGGCCCAGGGGAGGAGGGTGAGTGGGGCAGGGAAGCAGGCAGGGGAATGGGGGATGGGGCAGTAGGGGAGGGGAAAGAGAGTGGTGTGGGGGGGAAGATTCTAAGGGGAGCAGGGGGCTGGAGTAGTGGCGGGGGGAGGGGAATGGGGGAATGAGGGAGTCTGGAGGGTGCAAAGTCCTGTGCAGGGGCAGGGAGACGAGAGGGGCTGGAGGAGGGGGGAAAGAAATGGGCAGATGGGGATAAGGTCCCAGCCCTGTAGTTCCCTACAGACACACTGGGATGGAGTTGGGGGTGGGGGGTGTTCACAGCTTGAACCTCCTCCCCCAGGGCCCGTCTCCAGCCAGAGTGCCCAGGGTCGGCCCCAGGAAGCCGGGCAGCGGAGGAGCCAGGGCTGGGCAGGGGTGAGGGTGGCGTCAGTGCAGGGCACTCGTCGCTGTGGCCGGTGGATCTGTCCGTGTGTCTGTCCCTGCAGGTGGCCGTGTTCCTGGTGGACACCGAGGGCTCCCTGGACCTGCAGCGCCATATGGAGACCAGCATCAAGCTCTCCGTGTTCGGCATATTACTCAGCTCCTACTGGGTGGGGGAGCCGTGCTGCGGGGGACGGGACTGAGGGCTCTGCAGGGGGTGCCGTGCTGTGGGGAGCGGGGTGAGGGGGCCAGCAGGGGGGCTGTGCTGCGGTGGGGTGAGGTGTGGGGTTGGCAGGGGGGCTCACCTTTTCTTATTATTATTTTCCAGATCTTTAACATTTCCAGTATGTTTAAGCAGACAGAGGCAGATTATTTGGAGGTGGGTGGGGCAGAGGATACACACAGCTCTACTGACACGGACCTGCCAGCCAGGTCTCTGCTGGGGGGACCCAAGACCCTGTGTGATGTAGAGATTGGAGGGGGGCAGTCTAGAGGCTGTTATTGATGTTTAGAAAGTCCCAGAGATCTTGCCCCAGGCTGGGATTCGAGCAACGAGTCTGAACAGTAATACGTGAGCAGTAATTAATCAAATATTAGTGACTGTCATATTTCTGGTTCTTTATCATTACTTGGTGGCTATTTGTCATTAACCAATTAGCTCTGGTTCTCACTGCTGAGTGCTGGACCTGCTGGGGGGCTGGTGGAGAAGACACTTTTGTGTCCCGGTTCACTCCCCTAAGTGATCTGAAATGCGCCTGCAGACTCAGGTCTCCGGGAGGGTCAGGTAGCCTTGTGGTAGCTTTGGTGACCCAGAGCTGAGGTGGGTGGAACCAGGGCTGACGAGGGGGGGGGGAACCGGTACAAATTACCGGGACCTGGCGGTCCGAAAGGGGGCCCGGGGCCCAGCGGTCCGGAAGGGGGTCTGGAGCCCAGCTTTCCCCCCCTCTCGTCGGCCCTGTTTAGCCAGTCCGCCCTTGCTGGGGGGCCCGAATCCGCTCTCGGTGGCCCTGGCACCATGCCACCATGGAGCAAGGGGTAGCCCAGATACAGGTGCCCCCAGAAATCAGCATTTCTCACAGAACGTGCCCAGCCAGAATGTCGTGCTCAGCCAAGCCAGGGCCAGCAGAGTTAAGGGAAATGCCCGCCCAACCGTACCTCGGCCTTCTTGGGCTGGCGCTCCAATATATCTGTGGCACCCAGCCCTGCTCTCTGCCTGTGCCCCATATGGGGCAGGAGCCACCTGCATATGCCCTGCACCCAGACACTGAGTCTGGATGGGCAGGAGCCAGCGCTGGGCAACCTGCATCGCTCTGCGTTAGTTAAGGGTTTGTGATGGGAAAAATGTTCCATTGGAATCTTCCCAACCAGCCATAACCCTAAACCTATGTCCCATCCCCCAGCCCCACCTCTGTGTGTGCTTCATTCCCCCTCCCCCCATCCCAGGGGTCTATGTGCCCTCCATTCTCCCTGCTCAGCACCCAGAAGTCCCTGCTACCTTCCTTCCCCAGAGTGATTGGCTCATTGGCCGCTGATGCTACTCACCAGATCTAAATGGAAACTGGGCTTTCCTGTTTTCCAGTTTCCCCCGTCCCCAAGTCAGTAGTGTTCTTTCAACTGTTGCCCAGCGTGTCCCCTGAAATTTGGGAATTGATCAGATGTGGTCTCAAAAAGTGATCACGATACAGACAGACAAAGAGAAATGCCATCCAGTTGTCTTTTAGGCCTTTTACTTCACTTAGCCAATTAACTAACTTGTATAA